ATCTCCCAAATGACTTTCCAGGTGTGGAAAAATTGAATGGAAAATTTGACGTTAAGGCTTTAAATGCTTTAACTGCTTTAACTGCTTTGAATGATTTAAATGCTTTAAATGTTTTAAATGATTTACATGCTTTGAATGCTTTAAATGCTTTAAATCCTTTAAATCCTTTAACTGCTTTAACTGCTTTAAATGCTTTGAATGATTTAAATGCTTTAAATGCTTTAACTGCTTTAAATGCTTTAAATGCTTTAAAAGGCTTCTTTCCTTTAAAAGGGTTATTCCTTAAATGGAACAACGTTGATAGACATTGTTGATTTATGACACTCCAGCATCAACGTGCTTGGATGGCATGGTGGATAGGACATTAAGCTTCCGGCCGCGGGATCTTGCTTCGATCCGCAATGATTTTTTTTCTTTTTCGTTTTCTTTTGCAGCTAATTGCAAAATGTGGCTTGTAAAGTAGAAGTTAGTTATTTATTTAGTTGTTTAGTTATTTAGTTAGTTATTTATTTAGTTAATTCCTTTGGCGTTTTCAAGTGATCATAGATCATAGACTCTGTAACTTTATCCACTAATAAAATGGCTGAAGATTTAAAGAAGAGTTATTTAGTTGTTGAGTTATTTAGTTATTTAGTTATTTAGCTATTTCCTAGTAGAGAAAAGTTGCGTTGGTAGCCTAGTGGATTATGCAATCTCCTAATCACTAACTAATATTGACTATTATTAACTATTAATTAGGTTCCGGCTTCGAATAAGGATCGCGACAGGATCCGGCGACAGGATCGCGGTTCGGCCATCGCTCCAGCTTTTCTTTTTCTTCTTCTTTTTCTTTTCTAGCATTTTGCAATTGCAAATGGGTTATAAAGTCGGAATATTTCAAAATAAGCTACAAGCTACAAAAGTAAGCTACAAAAGTGTTATACTAAAGCGCAAATTCGTATTTTGATGAATAAACGAACCTTGAACAATTTGATTCATATATTTATCCGTTATATGCACTAGAAACGACGTTTCACAATGATAAATCGGATCCTCGCCATCATTGAAATATAAATCCTCTAACTAAAAATTGTTCTATCACCAAAAATCAAAAGCAAATCGTTACAGATAGACAAAATCCTTTGAAATATTGACCACCGAAACAGGTCTTCTAAAATTTGCACTTATTTTGGCTTATTTTGGCTTTTTTGGCTTCTTTTGACTTACTTATTGACGAATTTTAACAAAAAAACTTACTTTTAGACTAACTAAATGAAAAGTTATTAAAAATAGAAAAATGATAAAGAATTTCATCTTTAAATGGCTTTTTAAAACATTTTCCTTTTCATTTCCCTTTGTATAGTTGAAATTTAAACGAAAAAAAGCATTTTATGATTCATTTTTATGATTCATAAGTCATTCTTTTGAATCTATTGAACTTGTTGAAGTTCGGGGAGAATTTTCAGAAAATTTCCTTTCTTCTCTTCGAGTTTTTTCTACTACTAAAAGCTTTTTCAATTATGAAATCCAATCCCCCCGCAAGCCCTTATTTTAAACTTCATTTTGATACTAAACATGACTAGGTTCTGTTTTGTGATTCTTTAGATTTCGATCAATCTTTCGCCAGACTCGATAAGCTTAAAAAGTCCAGAAAATTTTTTTGATTTAAAATCATCAAAATCTAAAGAATGAGAAAACAGAATCTAGTCATGTTTAGTATCAAAATGAAGCTTAAAATAAGGGCTTCGGGGGGACTAGGTTTCATATTTGAAAAGCTTTTAGTAGTAGAAAAAACTCGAAGAGCGAGGCAGAGTGTCTCAAAATTTTTGCCCAAGCACGCCTACATTCAACGATTAAAAATATTGAGAATACGAAGCTATTCAAATATGAAATCCAGTCCCCGCGAAAGCCCTTGTTTTAAGGTTCATTTTGATACTAAACATCACTAAGTTCTGTTTTGTGATTCTTTAGATTTCGATCATTGATTGAATAGGGATTGATTCCATCTGTTGATAGACATTGTTCATTTAAATATTCAGAATATAAAGATATTCAAATATGAAACCCAGTCCCCCCGAAAGCCCTTGTTTTAAGGTTCATTTTGATACTAAACATGACTAGGTTCTGTTTTCTCATTCTTTAGATTTTGATGATTTTAAATCAAAAAAATTTTCTGGACTTTTTAAGCTTATCGAGTCTGGCGAAAGATTGATCAAAATCTAAAGAATGGCAAAACAGAACCGAGTCATATTTAGTATCAAAATGAAGCTTAAAATCTTGTGGGGCGAACTGGGGTTCCATGCTCGAAGAAGCTTTGGGCAGTAAAAAATCGAAGAGCAAGGCAGGCTGTCTGAAAATTTTGCCCAGACTCGTTAAGCAGGTCTATATTCTAAAAATATTCAGAATACAAAGATATTCAGGGAAAGATTCTTATTGAAATATTCAGTAAAAAAATCCAATAACTACAAGCGATATGACAGAACAACTTCTTCTTGAAAAATGGGTACTTGCTTGGGTACTTGCTGGGTACTTGCTTGGGTACCTGCTGGGTACTTGCTTGGGTACTTGCTTAGGCGCTTGCTGGGTACTTGCTGGGTACTTGCTTAGGCGCTTGCGCGAATCCGAGCAGCTCCAACAAGATTTTAGATTGCAGAATCTATAGAGAAAGAATTGTAACTAAAAAGAAAAGAGAACAATAAAATATGATTTTTCAGTACTCATTCTTCTTCCTTCATCTCCGTTCTCTTCGCTGTCTCTTATGGAACGTTTACATTCCCAACACCTATTCTCTTGCAATGAGAACAGCAGCATGTCAAGTAAGGTTGCTGTTTGAGCTATGTAAGGCTATGAAAACATTCTAGGATTATTGCAAGGGTCAATCGATCTCAACTTCGACTAGTTTCGACTCTCAAGGAAAGGGATGGACCTTGTGCAATTGTACGATTGCGCAAGGATCTGGACAGTTTGTTTAAAGAGACGATATTCAGCTATTCAGCTATCCAGCTGTTCAGCTGTTCAGCTGTTCAACTCTTCAGCTATTCAGCTATCCAGCTCTTCAGCCCTTCAGCTGTTCAGCTAACTTTCAGATGGGTTGTCACTGGTTGTTACTGCTAAATGTTGACAGAGATGTGTAGCTACAATCCGAGCGGCTCCAACAACACTGGGTGAGTTGAATGGCTACAGTCAATCATGTAGAATACCTTCTGTACTGTACTTGAAATGTTCCAGTGTCAAGTAGATTCTAAGGCACTCAAAAGTGATGTGGTGGGCTTGAATTCGGCGTCGAATATAGCTCATGTCATTTGGCCAGCACATCTGGTTAACATTCTTTTTTGAGTAAATGGGGAAGGAGACGAGTGTAGGCGTTAAAAAGGAAATGAGGTTTCCTTTTATACGCGTGTTTCACGGTATTACTAGTGCCTTATTAGACTGCTACTTTTTTATGACTCAAGTTTTTGTGTCAAACCTCAAGTTCAGTTTGCAAGTCAAGGAAGTCAAGAAGGAGTCTAGCCAATAGCCAGAGTTGTACCAAAGGTGAGGCAAGACAAAACAAGTCTGGGCAAGGTAAGACCAGTCCAGGGCTGGCTGACAGGCTCAAACCCCTGATCGTCATAGCTAGATCTGCCTGGTACAGCTTTATTTCTTGGATCTGTCTGATTGACTGGTTCAGGTATTGGAGAAACGTTGATCTTAGCAGTTAGTCTACAAACGTGCTTTTTTCCAAAACCAAAGCTTATGGTTGTTTTACTGAAACGTGAGCTGTCCTCGTTTCAAATTCTACTTTGTTGAGCATTTGTCGTTTTGCTCAAAATTTTACGACTTTTGCGGTCATTTTTTGGCTTTTTCTTTATGGTTTTTTTTCGGAATTTGATTGGGATCTCCACTTTACAGCTGAGATTAGTTGCGTTTATGAATGTGAGTGGGTGAAGAGTTGTTGATATTTAAGGCTGAAAGGAAAGACTTTCAAAATCATAGCAAACTCGGGCATTCTCGTCTCGTCTCGCTACTTCCGAATCTACGAAAATGGTTAGTTAAAAGAAAACTTTTCACGAATTTTCAGCAGGACTTGGCCTGGCCCTGGCTAGTCCTGGATTCGGTGTTGTTTGGCCTCACCCGGCTATACCTAGTCGGCATACAGACTCTGGGCACGCCTCACCCTAACCAGGGCCAAGTTCAGCGCCAAAAATAAAACTCTTTAAAGCGATTCTAGGAGGTAACTGTGAGTTGAAAGCTGAACTTACATATAGGACATAAGTAAGCCAATCAAAATACCGATAAGCTTACCGTATTCCAGTCGTACTCAATCCTCGTTGTCTCCGCTCTCTTCATGGTCTCTTATGGAACATTCACAAAACTTCCGACCAGCTATACTACTGCGATGAGAATATCAGCTTGTCAAGTAAACAATATAGATCTATTTGTCAAGGAAATGTCTAGGATTATTGCAAGGGTCAGTCGATTTCAACTACAACCGGTTTTAACTTCCAAGGAAAGGGATGGGAGTTGTGCAGTTGTCCGATTGCACAAGGATCTGGACAGTTTGTTTAAAGATTTCACAAATACTGTAATGTTTAGCTATTCAGCTATTCAACTATTCAGCTATACAGCTAACTTTCAGATGGGTGGGTACTGGTTGTTACACTGAATGCTGGCAAAGATGTCAAGCCGGATTGGGTAGTTGCGCGAATCCAAGTGGCGCGAACTACACTGGGTGAGTTGAATGGCTACAGTCTACCAAGAATAGCTTCTGTAATAGCTTCTGCAATACCTTCTGTAATACCTTCAGTACTTTACTTCAAATGTTTCAGTGTCTGTTGCTCGACAGCTAACAACAATGCGACAATTGAAGCTCAGTGCTACGCCACCCCTAATGGAGCTTGCTACCAAAATGGATCCGGATAAAAAGCCGAGTATTTAACAAGAAACTTCAGTTAATTCAGTGAATAAAAGTTGCAATCAAACAAGACAATTGCCTATTAGACGCATTAGTTGCTAAAGTCAAAGACAGGTTGCTGATGTAAACAACGAGCCAATGAGCTATAAATGAGGGGTAGGCAATGAGTTCTGAAGATCTAAAGAACGAGTTCGAGAATCTATCTAAAGAACGTGAACCTATCTAAAGGAAGTTGACCTATTTCGAAAATGGGTGGCTTCACTATTTTCAAATACAGTTCTATCCTTTTTCGAACTCTAAAATCTTCCTTGTTGATATTATTTCATACATTTTTATAACCAAAAAATAGCCAATTTTTCACAGAACTCAAATCTTATTACAGTTTTAACAATCTTATTACAGCATTAACTAAACGATTTTTATGTACTTTGGGTTCAAATTTCTAGATTTTAGAGATTTTAGAGCTTTCCAGCTTTCCAGCTTAAATTCAGCTCACTTTTTGCACCACAAAACGCACAAAAACGATTCCTTCTCAGGTAAATCGAATATAAATGAGCAATACGCTCTATAATCTTTATTTTTTTTTAAATTGCTTTCATCTTCTTGGTACTGAGAGTTTGCTAAAATAGGTGATTCTGAAAAGTTAAAAAACATTCGATAATTTTCATTAATCGCGAATTTTCCCTGTTTCAAGTACTTGATTTTAGGTTTTCAATGCGATCCATTACCTATCCATTAACCCATTAAAAACTTGTCTAAAAGCTGCTCACTCAAAAAGTGATCAAGTCACTTTAGCTGAAGAAATCTCTTATTTTTTTTTTACCTAAAGCCAACTCTGGTTTCTTTTGTCAAAAACTCTTTGAATTATAGTCAAGTTTCTCAAAAAATCTTGAAAGAATTCATGCTTTTTGAGAAATCATTGTGCAAACTTTTCCTACGAACTTCCGAACAAAATTTTTGGTACTTCGCATTGCAACGAACCAATTCGAAGCACAGACCCTACTCTTCAGGTCTCGCAACGGCTAAAGAGTGTCATTTCCAATGTCAACAAGGCAAACTAAACGAAGAAGCTCATTCGAACGACAAGGACAATAGGCCGGTGACCGGGTACACCAAACAAGTATCGCTTTCTAGGTCTTACTGTAGCCGCCGAGCTGGTGCTCGTCGTGGTTCCCGATATAATGATCACTTTCAATCCGTTTGACCTGGCAAAATATCAGCTCATTTGGTACATTTGTGCCGGCAGCAAGGGTCCGTTTGATTTATTTGCAACTTTTATGGACTTAGAAGTTCATAAAGTTACTTTATGGACTTCTAACTCCATGAAAGTAACTTTATGAACTTCTAACTCCATCAAAGTAACTTTATGAACTTCTAAGTCCATCAAAGTAACTTTATGAACTTCTAACTCCATCAAAGTAACTTTATGAACTTCTAAGTCCATCAAAGTAACTTTATGAACTTCTAACTCCATCAAAGTAACTTTATGAACTTCTAACTCCATCAAAGTAACTTTATGAACTTCTAAGTCCATCAAAGTAACTTTATGAACTTCTAACTCCATCAAAGTAACTTTATGAACTTCTAAGTCCATCAAAGTAACTTTATGAACTTCTAACTCCATCAAAGTAACTTTATGAACTTCTAAGTCCATCAAAGTAACTTTATGAACTTCTAACTCCATCAAAGTAACTTTATGAACTTCTAAGTCCATCAAAGTAACTTTATGAACTTCTAACTCCATCAAAGTAACTTTATGAACTTCTAAGTCCATCAAAGTAACTTTATGAACTTCTAACTCCATCAAAGTAACTTTATGAACTTCTAAGTCCATCAAAGTAACTTTATGAACTTCTAAGTCCATAAAAGCCTGTGTCCATGTGTTTTTTGAAAGCTCCGGTTCGGTAAACGTTGTTTTTGGTTTCTAATTTTGCTTTTAAGCGTCTTCAACGTATCTTGTCTTGTCTTGTCTTGTCTCTTTGCTTGTCTCTTTGCTTGTCTCTTTGCGACATGATAAAATCCAAAAACTTTCCGACCAATTCCTCAATTTATCGTTTTAAATAAAGTTTTTAAATAAAGAAAAGTTTTAAATAGATCTTAGATCTTTAATCAATTCTAAAAATGATGTCATTCATTGATGTCATTCATTAATGTCACTCATTTTTTAACAAATCACTTTGTGAGCGTTGAAACCTTTAACAACCGCTCTCTTTTGCCTTCTCGAAGCAGGAAAGTATAAGAAATACTGAAATTTGGCACGTATTTTTGTAAATTTTGTAGACTTTCTTACCATGAATATGCACACATCAGCTGCCAGAGACCCGTACTGACAAAGAAGTGCCAAAAACTCGATTGGTAGAGCGACTGTTTAAAGCCAGAGGCTATGCTCACCGCGAAAATACTGACCACATTGGCGCCCATCTGAAAGAGCTTGTTGTACCCTCAGTTTTCGATCGTTTGACCGTTTATAAGATCATAAACATATCAACTTTAAAATTGATCTTGCAAGAACACTTGACCAAACACTTGAGCACGCCTGGTTAGGTCAAGTGTCACTTTTTTACAAAACTTAGTGAATAAGAGACAGCGAAACTCAAACTCCTTTTGAGTGGTGAACACCACTCAAAGACACCACTCAAAAGGAGTTTGAGTTTCGCTGTCTCTTAACTGTAAATCTTCACACCGTATGCTCTGCTGCTTGCATTTTTGAGCTCTAGCTTTAGCTGTAGCTTTTGGGAGTCAGTTCACATTTTTAAGGCTACAAACTAGCTCGTAGTTTTTCCGCTGCGTTTTTTTAAACACACCGTTATGGCCAATTTATATTCCCTTCTCAACTCCTTGACTTTTTCGCCACTCGCGCATTTCCCGTGTTCTCGATGGAATGCACGAAAGCGTCGATGGATGAGAAAGATAACGGAAAAATCGAGAAGTGTTGTGAAACGAGATAAAACCAGCCGCCCACTACCTGAGATCATAAAAATTAAAGCTGATTTTTAAAAAACCAACCACAGTAAGATAAATCATCCTTGTCCCGCACGCTCCCTCGGTAAAAAACAAATTCACCCCATGGGCCAAGTAGATACCATTGCAGCCTGCTGAAGGAATTTTTGGCAAGTACATCTAAAGCCCTTACGTGTGAAGGATATCACGAGAATAGCCAGCGGATAGAGGTTTAGAATTATGTATTGAAAGAGTTTCCACCGATCGAGAGCCGCATAGAAACGACCGTTGAAGATCACGGCAAATAATCGGTTGAGCCCGAGGAAGAACTGGAAACGTTTTATTTTCATTTTGTCGTTTGAGGTTTGGGCTAGAGTTTAAACTTCAATTGTTGAATTGGAATTCAATTGGCGCAGTCGGGAACACGCTTGTCTACGGCCCACACGACCCGGGCTCGACCCCAATAGTGTTTTGACTCAATTTTGACTCAGTGTTTTGACTCAATTTTTTTACCTCAATGAAAATGGAACTTCCGAAAATCTACAAGGGTTTTGTTTTTGAAGGTTTAGCTTCTCTCTTCTTGTTTAGGTTTAGCTTCTTGAGATGAAAGCTGCGTACAGACAGACGGACGGACAGACGGACGGACTGCTCTTTTAAATAGAGTGCATTGCAAAATGATAGGACTACTCCTAAATTTTACATTTTTTGGCTATGAAGCAACAACGCTAAATGGCTCATAAATCTTAGAAATAAAGAAAACCAAATAAATTACAACAAGA